AAACCTAAATATTTTCTCTAAGGTTTTGCAATAGATCCTGGAAAAAGTGGTTATCGTTAATTTAAAAATATTCTATGTCAATCTAGAGTGTTTACGAAATCATTAATTCATTTATGGTTCAAGTAAGAAAAGTCCAGGTTATTGCATTTTACCTCGGACTTTTTAGAAAGAGAGACTGGAAATCAACAGTGAATTAGTGTGTGGTCACTTGTGAAAAGATCACGATGGAAATTCATAAAAAGGGGGTGGACATCCTTTATAAACTTTAAATCTATTATGTTGTCACTTCTAGTCACTGAACTGACCAGTTGTGACCTGGTTGAAAAGTTAATAGTATCGACCAATTCCTGCAGTTTTGGCGGACAGGTATTTGCATGCCAGTCAATGTCTGGTAGATTCTCTGCAAAATTTTCAAACATTTCACAGAGCTGACTTTCATTGCCTGGGTTACAGGGCGGATAATAGACACAGCCAATTACAGCTTTTTATTGTGCAGGAGGATAAGTGAAATGAAGCAAACATTTCCAGAAAACAACGAAATACTCAGGTGAAACGGAAAGTGTACAAAGGTGATTTAATTTAAAGAAGGCAACCACCGCCGCGCTTTTCAACGTGGTCTTTTCGGTAAAAATTAAAATTATATATAGCGAGGGTCGAGTCAGAAATAAGAGAGTGATCCTAAGATTCGGTGCCACAGAGCACATCTGGATTAAGCTCAAATGCTACTGTTTTAAGCTCTGCCATCTTATAAACAACCGATCCCGCATTGAGTGAGACGATACTGAGCGTATCCCTGAGATGCAGGTTACGCTCCTCAGTATTTATAAAAAAGGAAAACTTGATGGTGGAAAGGGAAACTGCAGGGGAGAAACAAAAGGTGGAAAGAAAATTGGCTGCTGTCTACAATTTGTCGAGTAGTTATTATTAAATGACCTATGACTACTGTAGAAAGCCATATTTTGGCAGGGCGGTCAAGATCCATGGAAAGGAAGGTTATATTGGGACAAGAAAAATAGAAGGGGGCATAAAAATAGGATTCTGAGGAATTTTAGCATAATTTGCCGGAAAATTTGCATTTGAAAATGGCATGAATTGTTTTGAACAACTGTTAACATTATTAGCTGATTTTATTATTTGAGGATGTTGGAGAGTTTTGGGGTTAGGAAAAGTGCTAGCTTGGGTGTTTGTATCTGTTGTAGATGCTGAAGTGTTAGCAGTAATAAAATTTCCGAATTTGACAACTGACGTAGATTGACTAGAGGTGTTGTTAGGTTTACCCAATTTTAAAGCTAACACAGGCGTGGTTTGCTTAAAAGGAGAACGACTTGGCGTTGCTACGATTTCATTTGAATCAGAAGTAAGGAGAACGAGTGAAGAATCAGGTGAAATTGACATTGAGCCAGTGGGACGTGGGCTTACCTCAGCGAGAGGGCCAACCTCGGAGACAACCTTTGGGTATTGTTCACGTAGTATTCGTGTCCGAATTTTGTAATTTGGCTAAAACCCGACTTTTCATTGGCGTTTTATCTCTGTATATGTAAAGTTTGTTCTCCTTTTAATATGCAGCTGAGCGCTCATTTTCATAGAAAACGATGTCTACTTGTATCGCCGAAAATGTTTTTACGAGAATCAGCGGGTTTTTACTCCGAGACCACAAACTTTTAGCTTCTGCAACTTTAAAGTTAAAGCCACAAAAGTCAAGAAACTGATAGGTGACGTCTAGGGATTGTTTATTTTTTTGGGACATTCTTCAAAAGAAAATAACAATTTCTGTTTTGCCGGTCACAGGTCTCAGTAGACATTACATTGACGAAAGGCTAGTTTCTCGCATTGCTGAGAAGTGATTGAAGATACCTTTTGATCAAAGATGGCACCAAGGACCGTAAATAGACACCCATATTGGGAATAAAACCTAATCCCGATGACAAAACGGACAAGACAGCGAACTCGTGGCTCAATGCTTAGGGCATTTGCCTCTGGCAAGAGAGACGCGAGTTCTGAATTCGAGTGTGGCAGCAATTTTCGCTGCTACACTGGAGTTGGGTATCTCCACCTGACGACGGCAAATAAGCCAGAAAAGGCCTTTTTGAAGGTCCCTCTGTTTGTCGGTAATACATAATACAAATACTCGACATTTTACGCAACTTGCCCAAATGACACATAGTTGAGAGACGGTCCTTCATCTTTCAAACTACGCGATGTATCTACCAACCACTAGCTAGACTCGGGTCAGTCGGCAGAGTAAGGTGAGACGATGTTTTGTTGCTGCTGCTTAAAGTTGAAGAGAAATTAGATATATTTCAGCGAAAAGACACGGAGGACTCTCTGTCTAATCGTCATGTCTAGAAGCCATGTCTGAACACAGCACCCACATCAGTGCCAAGTGCGACCCGTAAGGCCACGGCACAGAGACAAGAGGCACCAGTGGCTGGGTTAGGGCGGGTCAAACTGAGACCAGACAGAGAGCTCGGATGGTCTAATTCCCTCGAAAATAAAAATTTCTTAAGCTTAGGCAAGAAATGTGTTTGAGCGAAGCTAAGTTTTGGGAGCCGACTTACGTATTAAGTCGGAAAATCGATCTGGTCTAACTTCACAGAGAGGAAGGTGCTGCAAAGGACGAAACTTATAGTACATATTTTCATCAAACAGGACTCACATATATATCTCAAATAACCTTTAGGAGTATATTAGAGTACGGGAATATGCGTTTTACACAAATTTTAATTGAAGCAAACATCAACAGTTGCCACGCCATGGAAGCAGGGTTACCCGTAAAGATATTGAACGAATAATGTTTGGGAGAAATCTATTATTCTATCTGTCTTTAAGTCGGGATCTACTTCAGACGAAAATAATTACCGAAGCATTTATAAAACGCCGGCCCTAGCCAACCAAATGGAAAGGATAATTTTTAATCAAATTCTCGATATTTGCCTTAAAAACAAGCTTATGAGTGGATCGCAGCATGATTTTCTACCTGGACGATCTTGCGAAACGTGTCACTTAGCTTTTATTAACCTCGTCACTTCCCTTCGTGACGAGCAACAATCAGTGGTTTTCATTTTCTTTGACCTGAGCAAAGCCATCAACAAGGTACCGCAGAGAAGTCTTCTGGTAAAACTGGAAGACATCGACATCCGTCCCACTCTCCTCGACTTCATAAGTTCCTTCATGCCTAACCGCAGTCAGAAGATCTTAGTAAGTAACAGCTGCCCGACCGCTCAGCTGATTACGAGTGGCGTTCTTCAAGGCAGGGATTTGAGTCCTCTACTGTTCATTCTATACATAGACGAAATGTCAACAGTCCTGAAACAAATCCACACATTGTCCCTTACGCAGACGACCTCAAGTGCATATACTCATTTTGTAAGGACACGGCCAATATATGCCTTAAATAAATAACTGTAGACCTGTTTATACTTTCACCTTGGAGTGTTGCCGGGCAGATGGAATTTTCGCCATCCAAGTGTAATTTAATGCGTTCTGTCCCTGCCAAGCTTCCTGGTCTCCTAGTCTTTCAAAATACTCCACTTTTAGAGCGATCCACCATAAAGGTTTAAGGTACATGAATAAACTAGCATTATCGCTTCATGCGGATCGAAATTCTGCAAAGCCTGCGCAGATATGTGGTTTTATATCACATAACTTCTCCCTTCTGGTAATTAAGTTAAAAATGTATCGCATGTTTGTTCTACCAATCCTAGGATACTGCTGTCTCCCTTTGTCTAACGAAGGCCTCTGACCGAGCTTTGTTTGAAAAAGTTCAGCGAGGTTTTAGTCGAAAAATAGTTCCCCTTCCTCGATCCACTGTTTTTTAAACGTAGAGACGTAGCGAACATGGAATTTTGTTTTGTTAGAAATTTGGAAGCAGGCCTCTGCTTCTTTTCTCGCGTTAACTCTAGCCCTATCCTTCTAAAGAAGAAATACCTTATGCCACTCGTAATTCCTTCCCGATAATTTTATCACCGTATAGCTCCATAGTTAACCATTCTCGTTTTTTGGCTCCAAATATGCCCTCCTCTGGAATAAAATTCCTCTCGAAATTAGGCTGTTGTCTAACTTAGCAGTATTTAAAACCAAATGACGTAAAAGTTTGACTTCAGAAGAAATAAAGTCCTTGTTATCCGTCTCCTTCCCAAACACACAACATTTGGACGTTGAAAAGGTACTCTATTTTACCCTCTATAGAGTGATTATTGCAGTGGTTTTCGTCCCCTACTCTGTCCAATCATTACTGCCGTTCTCCGTTATAAAATCCGGACGATGGGCTTCATGGTCTCTGGTAATGCGCGTGGCGGTTCTGCTGTTGTCGCCAGCTTGTCGCTGTAATCTGCAGTCCACAAGGTCGCATCTCCGGCCTTTCGGTGATGATCTCGTGACTTCTACCGTCCTCTCATTATTTTACCCTGTTGTCTGCGATGATCCCCTCCTGTCTTAGCTCCCCGATGGCTCATCCTGGAGCCAGGCGGGCGTTGTTACGGTGGTGAACGGTAACCTCTGCTGCTATATGATTTCGTCAAAGACAAGAAGCGTTTAGAACCCTCATACGTTCTGATCAACAGTCCTGTCTCATTGTATCGCTACAATCCTATTAACCAACCTCTTAATTTTTATAGAAGCAGTTTTATTTTTTGAAAGTGGGGGTCCGCTGAACTCTGACCCTGGTTTTAGGTAGGAATTGTTTTCACTGCTTCCTCCTTAGCTCACCATACTCATCAGATTGTTGACTATTATTTTGAAAAAACGATATGTTGGCGGATATGAAACTATCTGTTTACCATACTTAACACTCCCGCTGCCTATGTGGTTGCTCACGGAGAGCAGCATATATCCACATTGTATATACCTTTTTTACCACAGCAGTAAGCTTGCAATGACGAGGCCCTCCGGGCCTAAAATATCAAACAAAATATATTTTTTAGTTATCGTTGGGGATTAAAGGCTCATGCTATTGACCGGCAAACATGGACTGAGTAGGAATTATAAAGTAACATCCGTCACAGAATACTACAGTGGACCGCAGAAAGCCGCGTCTGCCTGAACGCCATCTTTGGATAATGGGCTAGGGAACGACAACACTCAAACTGTTTTGATTTTAATTGAGCCGATAGGTGGAAGCTGTGACGGACCTGAAGGATCAACCTCTATTAGGGTTAAGCGACCACATTATGCTGTACTTCGAGTACTCGCTGTTTTCAAACCATATTTGTCCGGTAAGTGGGAGGTGCATATGTGGAAGGTGGACTATCCAATTATGAAAATAGAAATGTCGGAGGTATCATCGTGGGGCAGGGGACGATTGGATTAGCCTTAGCTCAATACTAAAAATAATCATTTGCCTCAACTGTCCTCTCAGAAGGAGAAATACAAATCGCTTGAGGCGGATAAACTCCAACTTGCAGGTCGCTTTCAAAAAACGATCTCAGTGTATATTTACTTAACTAATAACGTTCCTATGCGCAGGAAAGCACTCTTAGAACATGCCAGCGCTTCGCTTGCGCATACAGATGAAGTACATATCTGCTATTCGACAATTTTTATTTACGATCCTCAGGACGACAATACATAACCGTTACTGCTAAAAACGTGTACATGTGCACATGCGCCACTCACTATTTTATAGTGAAATATTTATTTTATGCATTTTATGTTGGCAATATTTGCATACAGTTTTCAATAGGGGTCGCAAAGGCATTGCCCACCACCCTTTATATACTGAAGTTTACTGAACTGAATCACTTTTGGAGGCGTCACAGACCGCGCACGCTCCGTTTCCGACCTCCAGGGACTTTAAAATGTCTTCGAGACTAGGGCTATTAGATGACTCTACAGCCTGTCAAGTCTAGGGATTAACTTCGACTGACAAACATATTCCCCCTGGGAAATCTTAAACAGTCCTAAGCTGATTCCTGCAAAATTTCAGTTACTTCGAATTTTATTCTTCCCTGTTTCTACTGGTTCTTCACCCGAGAAGACTACTCCATCGCCGAACAATACAGTTATAACTACTGCAAAGGCTGAGTCGTCCTTGGTAACATAGATATTCTTTGCACTATTGTCTCAGAGCTATCGTCTATCGGTTCTAATGCTGGCTTTTATCTAAATGCTTTCATATGTAGTCACTAATGACATGAAAAATGTAAGCTTGTGTGATCAAGCTCTACAACAGGGACACAATGTTCGCCACTGCATGGATTTGAACTCCTGACCTCACCCTAACAATGGAAAAATGTCTATCCATAAATCGAATTCGAACTCCGAATGTCCCGATAGAAAATCGGACGCCCCACCAACTGGGTTATTGAGGTACTTCGCTTTATCAACTTCAAAAGAGCAGTCTATAAGTTTTAAAAATACCCCGACCAAACGGACGAAAAGCCTCAAACGTTTAAGGGATGTAACTCACCAAGATGAGGTCTGCATAGCCTGTTTTACCCTTCTTCGCAAATGTTTGAACCTCGAGAAGGAGGTAAATAGTCTAAAAAGGAGCTGGAGGAGTTGAAGAAGTCTCCTCGCTTCCTCCCTAAAGAGGAGAAATTGGCGGTGTCTGAACTTGAGAGAAACAAACAGACGAACGTAAACGCAGATTCCCGGGCGGTAGCATCAAAGGAGGAAAGTGAACAGGTGCCGCGAAACTGTTATCTACCATCTCGAAGCACCTTGATTCTGCGCGTACCAGTGGACCCACCAAACAACCCGCTAACAACCGGGAGCAAAAGGCCTTATTAATTCTGGAAGGCGATTGTGCAAATCCACTCCGTAATAAAGTCGGCTCGGATATGGTGAACCAGCAAAAACAGTGTAATGGGTATGCGTAGGCTGCAAACAAATCATTAAAGCAGACCACAAATACAGAAGGTGGCCAGTACGAAGCCAGCTGTAAACATTGTCATTATAACGTCCCAAAGAAAACTATCCCTGGCGAAGGTGAGGCAAAAAAGAGCTCGCCCACAAATTGCAAGCAAACCATTCTCATAAAGGGTGCTCCAGAGTTTACTTCCGTTAGTACAACGGAACGAGTGGAGCATGATGCATATCGTACTCATGAATACGTCAGTGCAGTCTTACAGGACGGGGCAATTTTCACTGTCAGAACAAGCTTTCCGACTGGGTAAAGTAGACCCAAGCCGCGACCTGCAAGCAAGCCCAAGAACTCTTAAAGTTTTTTAGGTAGCGAAGCCCAAGCATCAAATAGGCTTGCAGGAAAAACGGTCTTAAGAAGTTCGCACAAGCAAGTGTTTTTTTTTCAGCCAGACTACGAGCCGAGGAAGCGTCTGAAAATGCGAGAACTAAGGATAGAACTGAAGGAGAGAACTGGCAACGGAGAGAAGGGACTAAAAATCAAAGATGGCCAAAAATCCAAGTCAATAGGTCAATCCTCTGGCCAAACCTGTCTCAATGAAGGCCGGGCCTCGACGAGGAAACGATTATCACGGATGAGTTAAGACTGCGCTCTTCCACAGCCCGGTTCCTTATGAGATGCGAGGAGTCTTGGGAAGGCCAGAGTTTTAGGAACAATATATTGTACACATAAGAGTTAGGGGGGGAGTTGCCACTCGGTCCGGTATGGTGTTCGACCGTGAGGGCCGTGTGACAGCGTGGGATCGTCACACCGGCCAACGAGGCTGCCTGCGTCTGCGCCCTGACGGGCAAAATCTCGGGTGTCCTTCGGTACAGGAATTGTCACAAGGACCTCATCAGGACGTTGATTGGCCCAACCAGTCTGGGGTGCTTGTCTGCGCCCCATTCGGGCGAGGGCAAAGGTTGCCCGTCGCATGCGAACATCGGCCATCGCGCTGCGTCAAGCGTTAATGGACGACCAAGATTGCCACTGCTAGACCCCGACTGTGTCGTCTCGTGTTTGGGAGAGGTAGACTGTAGACCCGCTACACGATCATTGAAGATCATATCCGAAAAACAACAAAGATTGTCCAAAAAGATGGACGAACAAAAACACACAATTGAAGAGCTGAAAACAGACATGATGGCTTTAATTGAAGCCTGATATTCTACAGACATCGCCGACTCCGAATTACCATTTATAGGATATCAGATTCTAAGGATAGACGGACTAACTGGGGGAGGATGAGGAATAACGTAAATAAATAAATATATTGAGAATTCCTGCTGGCAAGCATATGTTTTCGGAAATTAATCAGCGGGCCACTACAATGCAAGGACAGAAATGGTCATAGTTAGTTTAGTTCCTATATAATTCCATTTACATTGGAAATTTGCGAAAATTCCCATTGAAAATTTCAGAAGATGAAATGGCGAACATA